GTTCTTAACTGCTGAGCCATCTTTCTAGTCCCAGACTATTTTTTTTTTAAATTTTTAATGAGTGTATTGAGTGCATGTATGTAAGTGGAACTGTGTCTTGCAAAGCCCGTGGAGGTCAGAAGAGGGCATCAGATTCCCCTGGAACTGAAGTTATGGATGGTTGTTAGCTGCAATGTGGGTGCTGGGAATGAAAACCAGGTCCTCTGCAAGAGCAGCCAGTGCTCTTTTTTTTTAAGCCAAAAAATTATAGGTTTCTTTATTTCTTCAATAAACAGGCAATTGAAATACATGGCATAAAAATAAGTGGTAAGATTATTTTAAAATGAAATGGAGAGAATAAATATTCAGTTTAATTTTTCATCTATGAGAACTTCACGATAAAAATCATAGTTTATTTTGTATTATAGACATGCTTGTTGGATCAATTCATCTGAAAGTTCCTGAAGTTGCCAATAATTATTGGGGTAAAGATTTTGTTTTTGGCCTTATAAGTACTAAAGGACAATGGGTTTATAAACTTCTCCATAACTAAATGATACAAGCTGACATAGGATAATATGACGCCATGCACTGTAATTTCACACAGACAAAGTTGTCCGAACTGCCAGCTTATTCTTGGTTAGCAGAAAACATTACATGAATTTACTTTTATAGAAACATATTTACAGACTCAGTTTATAAAACTGTAGTGTTTCTCCAATGGCAGCAAGATTAGGAGTTAGCATACCCTTTCAGCATCCTATTTTCAAGTATAAACACTAAAGGCTTATTATGGGCTTTAATCTGTTTGTATAATAAAGAGAATTATCACTTGTTAAGAACAAGTGGCTGCCATAAATTAGCTTGCATAAGATTATTCTAAGCAGTGGCAGTCACTGGGAAACCTTATAAAGGTTTATAATACAATGGTAGTCACTATGGTCTATGCAGTAACTTCCTGTGCTGACATGGGGTAGATATCTCCTTTAGCATATATACTGTCGTTTCAGCAAATCGTGTGCCACCCCTTCTTTGGGTTCCATTTAAGGTTCAAAATGGCCCTGTATTGTGCAGTCTCCCATTGCTGGAGCTTAGCCGTGGACAAGAACCCAGTCTTGAAATGCCACATTGCTGTGGACTCAAATGCCATTAACCTCAAGTGAGTAGTTAAAATTTTATTCTAGTGTGGCATCATAGTGCACTTGCCAGCAAATGTGACTACTTGAATGTAACTTGGCCATATTTGCTTTCAGAAATGGTGTTGGCCACACTGTCCTAGACTGAGACAGTTTCAGCTCAAACTCCTTGACACACACCTTAAGACTATAAACAGTTGTACTGATACTCCTTAGTGGTATTCAGTTTATCTTATCTTTTTTATTTCAAAGAGGATGACCAAAAATACAGATCATCCATATGGTAAGGTAGTATTTTGTTTGGAAAACATTATATTCCAGATAAAATAATCTGGAAATTGTTAGTTGAAGCTGATTATAATTACACATTAAAAGAGTAAGAGTGTCACATTCTACATTCAATTGTTGTACTCGATCAGTTGTTTTCTATAAGGTCACCTTCAGTTTTTAGGCTGACTTATTTTCATGCCTGTCAAATGGGTTTAACTCCTAAGTTCTCATACTTGGCCAAATTGGGGGTTTATCCTGGGATGTTATCCAACAGGCACTGAAGAAGAAATCTCTCCCTTCTCAAAGACATTCTCTGTCAGGGACTGATGTTCATCCACATCTTTCTTAAATTGCTGGTAAAGCTGCAGAGAAGACTTGAAATCTGTAAGACTGGACCTGGGTGGAAAACCAAGGTCAGCAATGTCTGTGACATTATACAACCAGGGGATCAACTCTTCCAGCTGAGAGCAAAATGCCTACATGCACTGAATCAGAGAGGCTTTTTCCTACTCCCCTGCTTTCCCGGGAAGCTTCTCTCCAGGATCTGGCTCTGAGAATGGCCACCTGTCTGACAACAGCTGGCAAGGAAGGATGTTTTCAGCAGTCCAGATAAAAGGGCCTGGCTGATCACCAGACTGCTTTCACCTGTGGAGTCCTGGGGATGGATGGCATGCAGGAAGCAGGGGTTCTGACCTTCAGACCCTTGGAAGGCAGTACTAGAAGGATGCTGCCTTTGGGTTCATTGTGGGAAAAGCTGGCCTATCACTGTCTGACATTTCCCGGGAGTTTTGTCTCTCAGCAGCTACAGGGTCACAAAGGTGGGAACTGTGCCTAGACAGGAAACCAAACTTCTCTTGGTGTTCCAGAAGACCACTACCTATGGAGGAGGTGGAGGTGTTTCTGCTAGAGAGCTGAGGAGCACGCGGGTTCTCTGTGGACTTCCACTGTGAGAGGAGAGGGAAACCTGAGATGTGAGGCTGCTGGCTGAGGTTTAGGAACTGAGGTAAATCTACCGGGGATGGGTCATCTTGAATACTGGCATCCTATCTTGACCAAACAGCTGTAGTTCTGAGGACATTAACACTGAAGTATGTTCTAGGAAGCAGAAAGCTTGGTCTCCTCCACCTCACTCCAAGCCTTCGTACATCATGAGCAGCTGAGACTGCCCTGCCAGGGTCCCAGACCCCAACCAAGTTTAGTCCTCTGGTCTATTCCCACAGCAGTTAGTGCTCTTAACTACTGAGCCATCTCTCCAGCTCCCAGACTAGTTTTTTAAAAGTTCAAGTATATATGGCTTGCAAGAGACACATGTAAGCATAAGACTAAAAACCAAATGATGTCAGTTGGTCATAATGGTGCATGCATTTGATTCTAAGCACCCAGGAGGCAGAGGCAAGTGGATCTCTGTGTGTTGGGAGGCCAGCCTGGTCTATGTAGTAAGTTCCAGGCCAGATAAGCTTAGTGAGACCTTGTTTCAAAAACAAAACAAAACAGGACAAAAAATAAATAAAACTGAAAGATGTCCTTATCATCTCAAACTAAAAAAAAAAAGTCTATTTATATAACATCAAAAAATATAAGCCAAAAGTATCATTCACTACATAGCTAAAATAATTCTTTTTGTAAACATATATACATATATATATATATATATAAAATAAACCTTTAATGTACAAAATAAATACTGTATGAATCTTAGGGAAAATAAGCCCACCATCACAGTATTAGCTTTTTTTTTTTTAGCAATTAATAAACCATGAGGATAAATGTTGGAAAGAATATAGAAAGTATGAATAATTTAAAACCTTGATTTCATTAACAGGCATGTAGTTTCCACGGCATTAAACAACTGAATCAGATCATTAAATTTCTTTCTTGTTCTGGGTCACAAAGTTATAATGAACAAGTGTCAAAAACTGCTTTCATACAACTCAAAATTTATAATTACAATGCAATTTAGTTTAAAAGAGAATTTTCTCTTCACAGAACAGAAAAGTCTGTGTCCTACTTAACTTCAGAAGGCTAGTATAACTATTGGAAATCATGGACGTACCAAGCAATCGTACTTGAACTCAGGTTCAAGACTCCTAAAGCAAATATCAGTAATCTGATTTTGTGTTATAAGTAGATAGTATTCATGACCAGGACCTATTCTAAAAATTCGAGGTTTAGTATAAGAAAACTGAATGATATAGGGAACCACATTAATAGGCTGAAGAAAAATGTTCTTAATACTCACAGACCGTTCACACCTATTTAAGATTTTTTTAAATTAGGAAACTAGAATTAGAAGAGAATTTCCCTGACCTACTAAAAGGTATTTGCAGAGTGCAACTCTAGAGAAGCATCCTGGCTAACAGGGAATGTGGCTCTCCTTCCCCTGAAGATCAGAAGCAGAATAAGAATCTTATCTCTAGAGGTCCAAGTCAGCAAAGCAGGACAGGAGAGGGGAAGCAGATGCATGTGAAGTAAGGAGCCAAGCAGACTGTCCGGGAGCCATTCCAACATGGCACCAAAGCATTAGTAGGACACTGAAACATAATTGAAAATGTAGCCAGGAGGAAAGTCAGTTACATATTTACTGGAAGTCTTCTCAGAGAAATTACAGTATGTAGGTCAGAAAAATACTTAGATAAACCATTTAGAATTTAGAGGAAGCCTGAGAGGCCTGCAAGAGAAACAGATGGCCACTGGAGTGCAATCTAATGAGAGAGCAGGCCATGGCTGCGCTGCTGAGGAAGCACAACTGTGAAGTAGTCACTGAGCTGGGACTACAGGTTGGGCTAATGTCAGGGTCTACATTCTGACTCTATCATTCTCCAAAGCAGTGCCTGGTACTTTCTCTGGATAAATGTTTAAAAACAGATCATGAACACCGAGTGTGAACTATAGCCCACTCTGGGGCACGCACACCCTTTGCTGTGGTTTCTATGGGTAGACACGGAGTAAGAGGAAGACAGCACTTGAAGACTGGTCGGAGAGAGGACACCAGTGAGGTAGAAAATCTGACAAGATGAGAGGTGTCAAGGACTGAGTCTGACGGAGCTCACCCAAGAAAGCAAGCGAAGGATGAACTGGGAAGGAAGAAAACCAGACTAATGGGAGGGATTCTAGCAATTGCTTCAACCAAGACTCAGAAAGAACTAATGTCATGATTTATAAAGTTCTTTCATTTATTCTGCTCATAATTTTTTGACTTGTAACATTTTAATTCTATTCTATCCTTGGCCTTGTATTTCCTAGGCTTAATATTTTCATTAGAAATAAAAAAGTTATTTAAAAAGCCACTATCTAGAACTTAGAAAGTTTCTCTCTCTTTAAAAGGAGACAAGTTAGAGAAGACTATTCTGCAAAATACCGGAGATGCTGCTTTTGCTTTCTTTCCTGCTTTGCTTTGCTCTCCTCACAAACATCCCGGTTTAAGGATTTCGATAGCAAATTTTTACTCAATGGGTTAGTAAAAGTGTTTCATAACACTTTTAGTAAAGTGTTATGAAAACTTCAGCATCAATTTCAGTTCTCTGATGATCTTGTTCATCTACCTACACAGTGTCACCAGATTATGTTACTATTAATGTATATACAGTGTAGGTGACAGGCCTAAAGAGCTCTTGCCTCCTGATTGGCTGAAGTCAGCTTGTCTTCCAGCACTTGCTTTAGGTTGTCTAGCTCTAGTTGAAGTTGATTTTTATCCTCTTCCAGATTTAGTTTCTCCATTTTATAATGTTCTTCCAATTCCTTAGAAAAAGAAATTTTTAAAAATTAATGTCTGAAATACTATATACGTTGAAGACTCCAAGAAAGACAATCCTGTTTATATTTTAATATTTTGCTCTTCCAATTAGCTTTGTCCTTAAATAATAGCAAAGTTAACCACGGCTCCATTTAATCCTCAATGGGTTAGATTTTATCATTCTGTGAATCTATAGGTTACAATATAGTATTCTGACATAGCCATTAGATAATGTTTTTAAATCATGAGAGTATGTGACCAGTTAAGTGATAGAAGAAAACTAGAAAAGTGTAATACAAACAATAATTTGATGAGATAAAGAAAACAGTCTAATTCCTTTTATACTTACTTTTTTATACTTACATATATAAGTTCTTATAACACTTCTGGAGTTCAGTTAACTGTGGAATGTACTTAAGAATTAACAAGGACAAAATGAAGGCAACTGAACAGTAAAACTAGTAAACAGATACCCACTAAAGAACTTAACTATTTTCCAGGTATGCTATTTAATACATGAAATACAAAGGCAGTAAGGCAAGGTATGGTGCCTGCCTTAATAAGCCACAGTACAAAAAGTAAAATCAATAAAATTAGACATATATAGACAATAGGGGAGTCTTTGGATGGGAGACTGATAAATTTGGAGGGGAAGCCTTCAGCAAGAAAGCAATTCCTAAGGGTGGTTTTGAGAAGTGCACCAGCAAAAACGGTAGTAGAGAGGCAGGGAATGTAGCATTCTAGGCAAAGGAAAAAGAATGTGCTAAGCACTATGGAGGTACTTGGAGGCACATAGCATGTTACAAGCAATATTTAAATAGTGTAAGGGGAGAAAAAAAGTCACTGATAGGTTGTGATAGGGATTAGCATGACAAGCCAGGAGTATGATGATTTACTAGGAGCACCCATAGGCCTCAGTGTACAGTCAACACACAGCAGTGATATATTATGGTGAAAGCATTCAAAACAAAACCCATAAAAGGAAAGGTACATGTGAGGAGTCTACAGGACGCCAGGCAGGAGCTTCTGAGGGCCCTCACACCATATAAGCGAGCCTCCTCTAGCAAGCTGTGGCAGTAGTCTAAAATGCAGTCTGCAGGGAGGCTCCTGAGAGACTTGGGGCCCAGGTCTTTCTTACTGGGGTCTGGTTGCATAGATATCTTCTTGCAAATTTCCAGGAAGAAAGAAGGTGTTCTGCATAAATCACATTATTAATGTGAACAGTTTAGGCACAGTGAGCTTGTCTTTTTAGGGAAAGATGGGCATTTTCCTGAAACCCAATCCCTAATTGCCAGCCAAGGGCTAACCTGTTTTTTAGAGGATAGCCGTCTCAGGCCTGCTACATCATGTCTGCACAGGCTCCTTGCATACACTTTCAGATGGTGTACTGCAGTTAAAAGGGAAAAACAAGCTTTTGGGTAGGTAAGTAAGAAATGTAGAAATCATCTTTAGCTAAGTGCTTTTTAAAAAGTAATTGGTTGTGAGCCAGGCATGGTGGCACACACCTTTAATCGCAGCACTTGGGAGGTAAAGGCAGGCAGATATCTGAGTTTGAGGGCAGCCTGGTCTACATAGTGAGTTCCAGGCCAGCTGGGGTTACAATGAGAACCTGTCTTAAATAAAAAAAAAAAAAAAAGAGTAATTGGTTATTAGCAAGAAAGACCATTCTGGAAAGAGGCTAGTTTTAGCTTATACATATGGACTGGACAGGCAACAAGGGAAAGAAGGAGCAAGTGGGGAACAGGTTATTTTGATAAAAAGGTACAAACAAAGCACACAAGAATGATCAAGTCACCTGTCTGATGGCAAGCATGTTCGAAACAGGCTTTGAAAAATATAAGTGGGCTCAGACAGGGTTTTTTTTTGTCTTTTTGAGACAGGGTCTCTCTGTAGCCCCAGCTTTCCTGGAACTCTATGTAGACCAGGCTGGCCTCAAACTCACAGAGATCCATCTGCCTCTGCCTTCCAAGTGCTGGTATTAAAGGTGTGCGCCACCACGCCAGGCTCAGACAGGTTTTAAAAAAATTTTTTTTTATTTATTATTTTTATTTTATGTGTGTGAGTTCATTGCCTGCACGTGAGTGCACCCGTGTTGTGCAATGCCGTGGAGATCAGAAGAGGGCTTCAGATTCCCCTGGAACTGGAGTTAAGGACGGTTCGTAGCCGCCATGTGGGTGCTGGGAATTGAATCCGGGTCCTTTGGAAGAGCAGTCAGTGCTCTTGACCACTGAGCCACCTCTCCAGCCCCTCAGACAGGTTTTGAGGTGGCTCAAAAATTAAAATTAAATGGGCAAAGGGATGATTAGGAAAAATGAGATAGAGATAAACGAGGGCTTGCTTAAAGAAACTAAAAACTGGACAGTATCCATTTAAAATGGTATATAAGTATGAGAAAGACATTCACTATCTTGAGAAATAGCATGGCAATGATTTCTGTCTCTGGCTATATGAACACATAAGAGTGAGGTTAGACAGAAGTAATATTCTAACAGAAAAACATATATATTTTAATTTTTACATCTTAGATATTTTTCTAAACTATGTCATAAAAGGAAGGAACGTTAAGGCAGATCTAAATTTATGTTCTATCTATTCCACTTACCAGGTTTGTGCTTCTGCAAAAAATCATTTAGGCTTATTAAACATAGTATCCTTTATAATAAAAATAATACTAATCTCTAAGTTATAAGTATTGACGTCTGTATCACAGGAAAATGCTTATAAACTGGAAAGTCTTACTATATAAAACACCAGGATCCTTGTTAATGAACACCTATAGGAGGTTTTTAAATACCTTGGGGTTGGACAGAACTGTAATCTGAGTTTAAGGCCTCACTGATTCTTTTTTTGTTTTATTTTTTGTTTTTGTTGTTTGTTTCTTGACAAGGGTCTCCCTATTCCCAGCCTGCCTGGAAGCCACTATCCACATAGTGGAAGACAAGCTCACTGGCCTCAATCTCACAGAGATCCATCTGCCTCTGCCTCCCAGGGGCTGGGATTAAAGAACGAGCACCACCATGCCTGGCAAGGCCTGACTGATTCTTACAAATTGCATATTACTGAGCACATTCCCCTCTAAGTAAATAGTGAGTAACAAACAAACAATAGTACAGTCATAAGGATTAAGTGAAAAAAAATGTGTAAAACATGACTGCAGTATCTGACACATGATAATAAATACTAGTAAAATCATTTTTTAATGTTTTTAAATTAATTTATTTTTACTTTGGGTATATTAGTGTTTTGCCTGCAAGTATATAAGTATACCATGTGCATGCAATGCCCACAGAAGTCAGAAGAGGGCGTCAGATCCACTGGAACTGGAGTTACAGATGTTTGTCACCATGTGGGTGCTGGGAACTGAACCTGGGTCAGTAGCCAGTGCTCTTAACTGCTGAGCCATCTCTCCAGTCCCACTAGTAACATTATTGATTACCACAGCTAGGATATGTCTGAATACTCAATACCTGTTCTCACTTGATCCTTACAGGAACCCTATAGGGCAAATCACATCCTCTTCTGTCAGAGAAGGTGGCAGAAGCATAGCTTTCAGGTCCTCACTACAATAGCCAGTATGCAAAGAGCACAGGATTGAGTGCATCACATAATTTGCATGTTCACTGTAATACTGGCTGTAATGTAGTACTAACAATCTGATTATTTAAGTAAAAAAGAAAAAAATCCCCACAAACGCATGAATAATTGCCCAGGGAAGGAAGCTATATACTAGGAAACATGTACTTTGATGAGTTATGGCTGCCTGAGGAGTACAGCTATCTCAAGAAAAGGAAGCTCAAAGAGAGCATTTCTGTTATGGCTTGTGTGAAGTAGTATGCCTTACAAAAGTTTAATAAACTACACCCCTGTCAAGAACCTCAATGGAAGCTGGGTGTGGGGGTGCATGGCTGCATTCCCAGCACTTGGCAGATGGAGGCAGGAGGATGGTGATAGGCCAGCTTGGGCTTTGTAGTGAGCCCATGTCTCAAAAGGGAAAAATACTTTTCACTTTTACATACGTTACAATTTGAACTATGATTTAAAGAACACTGACAAGATAGGAGCCACGAAAATGAAGTATATTATCCCCACAATATAGGTCATTTTGGACTTTTACTGAACTCTCATCCGTTTAAACTGCAATGATAAATTCTTACTTACCATCTGCAGCTTTTTCTTATCTCTACTTGCACTGCTGTGGACAGCCTCCATCGCCATGTGGTGCTTCCGGGCTAATTCTTCCAAGGTCTTAGCATGGGCCTCGTTTAATTGGGTCACCTCCCCTTCCAATCTATTTTGCAGGTTTTTAAGCTCCATCTCATAATATTCTTGCTGGGTTCTCTTTGCTTCATTTACTTTCTTGAATTAAAACAAATAAGATCAAGAACTGCCACCTGCTTTTTTCATTAGTGCTATTAATGTCTGAACACCTTATACACATCTAAACTGGAATGAACTAATTGCTTTGGGATCTAAGACTTTGAAGCCTGATGATAGATCATTAGTATCTCAAAGTGGCATGGTGGATGAGGCAAAATTATATATATATATGAAATTAGTTTATTACTATTTTTTTATGTGTATGAATGAACTGCCTGCATGTATGTAAATACACCCATGTTGTGCAATACCCATGAAGGTTTGAAGAAGGTGTCACATTCCCCTGGAACTGGAGTTATGGCCGGTTGTTAGCCATTATGTGGGTGCTGGGAATCAAACCCAGGTCCTCTGCAAGAGCAGACAGTGCTCCTATCCACTGAGCCATCTCTCTAGTTCCCAAAATAAAGTATTTTAAGTCAAGAAGTAAAATAGACTATTAGTATATTAGAATCAAATATGAGTTGGTATGACAACAAGCTTAAGAGTCAAAGGCATCCTGTATGTTAAAGTAGTATACAAAATGACTTACAAAAATGACTACTCAAATTATATTATTCATAAAATTGGGAATGCCAATTATGTACCTCTTAACCAATCATAGTTCAGTGACAAAACGGTCAAAAGACAGAGGCAATACAGCTTTATGAGTTCTATGAAAGGGGTGTCCACTGTATGTTTCTAGAGAATACAGGAAAAGGGTCTAACCTGGATGGGCTAGGAAAGAGTATGTGGTGGGGGAGGTGGGGAGAAAGGGAAGGAGAGACTATATGAAGCAGCTTGGGAAGAGAAAACACAGAGCTGGTGATGACATGGTCTCCCATTTAATTTTTACAAGTCCAGAAGGTATCCAAAGATGAGAAAATGTCTAATCTAGGTCTCTTGTAAAAAGCCTAGATTCATAACCATCTGTGTTATCTTCCAAAGCATTTTGAAAGACAAAGAGGAGAATGCAGTGATATAAATGGGAAAGGGGAACAATGGACAGGATGGTTTAACAGGGTGGGGAATGAGAACTTAGGGAAAGAGAGGGAGCAAGAGGAAAGTGATGCTAAAGGCCTTTTGAAAGAGTCATACAGAAACCTACTATAGAAGCTTCTTTTAATATAGACATATACAATATAAAAAGTTTAAATGTAGTTACCCTATAATAGTGGTTGCATAGCCCTAATAGTTATCACAGGTTAGAAAATGAAAAGCACAGTGCTTAGAATGGATGCCCTGTTTTGGAGTTCTTGATCAGAGATCCCAAAGACCCTCAAACAATACTGGCTGTTGCCACTGCATTTGGTTACCCACCAGAACTTGATGGTAAGACCCTGTTGCCAAAGACATGACATACTTGAGCCACAGAACAAATAAGGAAAAATCAAGCTGATACTGATCTTGAACATTATACATGTTATTGGCAGAGGAAGGTAATCACCAACCTTACTTGAGCTGTGACTCCTGTGAGCTACATAACAACTGGTTTGGAAAATATGCCCACTAGTGCAACAGTGACACAAATGTTATGGGAGTGACCAACCACCTTCTAATTGAATTTAAGGCCTGCTTCACAAGATGGAAGATATTGTTATCAGGGTCACAAGCCATAGGGGAGAACTTAATACTATCATTCTGAAAATAGACATAGTATTAAACTTATACCTAAATATACCTACAGATTAATGTCTCTCTCAACTCTCATTAGAGAAGGTTCTTCTTGCAGCAGATGGCAATTAACACAGAGACAACCGGTCAAAATGTGCAGAAAATAAGAGTCTGGATAGTGCTCAACCCTAAATAAGACACTTAATATCACACCCTCTCCTCCCAAGTCTCAGGGATCATTTTGGAAGGGGGGCAGAAAGATTGTAAGAGTCAGAGGTGGTAGATGACCACAAGGCAACTTTGTTGTCTAGACACCACAGGGTAGTTATACATATGAACCCACAGCACTTATGACAGCATGCACAAGACCTGTGCAAACCCAGGCCAGGCAGAGGCCCAGCATGGGCTGGAGAGGTGGGCAGGAAGCCCCAGGCCTAGCTGAGGAACTACTGGCAACTGATAGATGCTAGGAGAGGGAAAATCAGTTTTGCTTACTGGTGTGATGCCAAATAGGTTGACAAGACTCCAAGGGATAGATCCAAATCTACCCCAGAGCATTCAGGAAACACAGATTAGACCGATAGGTCTTTAAAAACTAACAAATAATAATAGAGGGCATGAAGTAGGGGGTTAGTAAGGTAGGGGTAAGGGGGGAGTCTGAATATCATCAAAATACACTGTATAAAATTCTTGAATTAATACAAATACTTTTAAAAAAGTAACTAACCAGACAACAAAGTTGGAAGGGACAGAAGGTCTATGCAACTAACTCACATGAATACAACATAGGCTGTATATGCACAGGAACACGAAGTAAAGAAGAGTGTTGGGCTTTGAAGTCCGCAGGAGTCAGACAGTGAGTCTATATTAAAGGATTTGGTTTTTGTCCAGGAGGAAATGAAACAATCACTGGAATTTAAGTGAACTGGAATGTTTTATTTGACTTTGTATGTATGAGTGGTTTGTTTGCCTGTATGTAAGTGCATCCATATGTGTCTGTGGAGGCCAGAAGGTGGTGTGGGATCCCTTGGAATTGGAGCTAAGGATAGTTCTTAGCCACTATGTGTGCTGGGGACTGAACCCTGGTCCTCTGCAAGAGTAGCCATTACTATTAACCACTGAGCCATCTTTCCAGTGCCTTTTTTTTTTTTTTGAGACAGGGCCTCCCTTAGTCCTAGCTGGCTAGTCTCTGCCTCCCAAGTGCTGGGATTAAAGGTGTATACCACCATGCCTAGCTGAGTGAAATATTTTTCAAAAGCCATAATCTTGGCAACAGGCTATTGAGCTAAACAAAGGTAGGGAGAGAGACCAGGAGGTTGTGACTTCTATCCAGAGAAGCAATTACAGGTATTTAAACTTAGGATCAATGAATGGGAATGAAGGGGGAGGAGGTACTGAAAATATATAAAGGGAGTCAAACCCACAGGACTTAGTGACAAATGAGGGGATTGAGCAAACAGCAATCAAGAATAACTTCTGCTAGTGGTTGAAGAAAGGGGTGCAGTAAACATAGGCTTTAGAAGGGAGAGAGTTATGGCATGCTGACATGACATGTTTATAAAAACTACAAATAGAGTCATTGAGTGGAAAGTTTGCTACGTAAGATTCAAGTAAAAAAGAAAGCTTTGACCAGTATCTATCAATTTTGTAAGTATCACTGAACAAATGACACTTGATGTAACTGGAATGAATGAGTAGGTGGAATGAAATGAAAATCCTGGCACCATCTTGTCAGGCTGGTCTTACTGTAGCTTGCAGGGTTCATGGCTATGGAACCTAATAGCTTGCACAGCACCTTCTCGCACTATGAAAGCTAGTCAATAGGGATTCGAGTTTCAAATCGGTACTGGCTTGAGTTCTCCATGTAGGAATGTGGTTCAGTTGGCGAACACTTTTATAGTGCATACAAGGCCCTAGGTTCAATCCCCAGTTCAAATAAAGAAGGACGACAGGGAGGGAAAGAAAAGAAGTTTCCTAAGAGTATTCTTCATTAATAGAAAAGTATGTCTAATATATAATAAAAAATATAAATTCTACTGAAGTAAGAGTTAATTCAGTATCTGGCTTAAAATAGATTGAAATGTCTTAAATTTTTACAATATGGATTACTACCTAAATATTTTGAATGTATACACACTATCTAGTCTACTCTTATACCTTATTTCTTTAAAGTCAACACGAAAAATCAAAAACAATTACTAGACTAAGAAATGTATTGTTTTGTGAATAAGATTAAACACTAAGTATTTCACATAGGAATAAGGATTATTCCATTCCGGAACCTTCTTTCCTATCACTTTACCTTCTCTAGTTCCAGGAGCTGCTGCTTCTGTTCTTCATCCAGATTCTGTGTTCTGCTTTGCAAAAAAGCTCTTTCCTCTTCAAGTTGACATAATCTTTCACTGGCCCTGGATTTTTCATATTCCAAATCTTTAATTGTAACTTCCTGGGTCATTTGAGTTGCTTGAAGCATTCCAATATGACCTACCCCCCCAAAAGATAGTATCTTTAATTCATAGATAGTTTCCTGTGATATAACAGGAAAGCTCAGCATGCACAAGTTTTTTTTTTTTTTTTTGTCTTCCTCACTGTAGAAAGGAAATATTTACCATGGGACTACGTCTTGCCAAATTATAATCACTGAAATTAGAAAGTTCATTTTCGTATCACTGATGTTGCTCCCCAGTACCGTCCCACTTAATAAAAAAGACTGCAAGCTGAACATGCTAAAGTAGAATAACAATTCAGCAGCTCATACGAAATCCTCCTGGGAATAACTAAAGGAAAAAGGATGTGATGACTAATACCATGGAACCGAAATGAGCCATTTCTTCTTCTCCTCTCTTCTCTCTCTCTCTCTCTCTCTCTCTCTCTCTCTCTGGAAGAGTATGTAGATAGGGAACAGAGGTGCTAGACAGCAGTTTTGTTACAACTGAATTTGTTTTATAGACAAGAGACTAGATTAAAAAAAAACAGAAAAAGGTACTGGGTGTGGTGGAACATGCTTTTAATCCCAGCACTCAGGAGGAAGAGGCACACGGATCTCAGTGAGCTGGAGACCAGCCTGGTCTGTATAGCAAGTTCTGGGCCAGCGGGGGCTGCAGAAAGACCCTGTTTAAAAAAAACAAACCAAACGGAACCAACCAACCAACCAAACAAACAAAGCAAAAACCAACAAAACAAAATGAAACAACAAAAGAGAGCAGGAAGGTTATGAAAGAATAAATGGCAGTAAATTGAGTAGGGATAGTGGGGGGACAGTTAGGAGTGGATATGATCAAGATATATTGTTTACAGGTTTGAAATTGTCAAATAAATAAAACATATTCCATTAAAAATGGGTGAGGAGAAGAAGGCAGAGGCAAAGGGAGAGAGATGTGAAATACAGAGTATAGGAACAGTCTCGCAGAAAGCATTGGCTTAAGGCAGTGATTCTCAAAGAACCCTGGATAAGTAGCACCACTTATTTGGAAACTCTCGTCATAAAAAAATCACTAGTTTATGAGCAGGTATATTCATCAATGAGCCAATCAAAATCAAATGGGGTCCTGAAACAACTTTGCTGGAGACACTGGGACAAAAAGCAATTTCAGACCTGATTTGGGTAAGTCATCTCCTCTACTACGGGCTTTGAAAAGTACACAGCCACTACAGATCTGTGACTTAGCTGTGGTGTGTAAACAGACCTTCATTAACAAACTTCATAAAATGAGGTCCTGCAGGTCATATACAACACAACCATTCAAATATTTGGTAATCTTTATAAGAGACAAAGTCTTTAGAGTGCTGTATTTTTCTATATCCAACATATCAGTGGTTCTATCTGCAAATTTAAAATTTTTCTATAAAAATATATTCCTAAAAACCAAAAATTCACCTTGAGGCAGGATAGAAGGACAGGAAAATTATCAGAGCATGGGAAGGAAAAGGAGCCACTCAGTCCAGATTCTAGCTGAGGACTGTTACCAATCAAGAATTCCAGTGCTATTAACATCTGCTGTAAAGACTGCCTATCCAGAGACAATGATCCTTTCATATAAAGATATTTCCAAATAATAATGTTAAAACAGCAATGAACCCTGCTGAAGGCCGGAGCTATGTCACCTTGAAAGTGGTCCTGTTCCTTTCTCAGCTATTTTCTGCAAATGTCACAATCAAGACTAACATTTTTTAACAGTAAAAGTTTCCTGTGACTTAGGATATTACCTTCGCTTATCATCTTGGCTTAAATTCCTTAACAACTCTAAAGTTTACAACTGGAAAACCCCCCAAATCCTATGCATGACATAGACAATGAAGGAAACTCTTCCCTGAGACACTCACTACATGTGGCTGTCTGATTCTGTCCCTGAGCACCTCTATTTCTGTTAAAGAACTACGTATAAATCTGGGTTAAAAAAAAAATCCCTTCTGATAAACAACTGTTTCTTACTAGCTCATTGTGACATTACTTTCTGCAACAAAGCCAAAATATCTGGTTTAACCCGAGTGTAAGTCTCTGAAAAGAACTCAGATTGCTGTGGGTGGGGGGTGGGTGGCAGTGTGGAGCAGTGTCTATGGCCTTGCCCCAACCACTGCTGAGAAGCTTATCATTTGCTTGTTATAATCAGTAAGATTTTGGAGGCTTGCTTTTGTTTGAAAACCAACCAACCAACCAACCAACCAGAGATCGGGGCTAGAGAGAAGGCTGGGCGGTTAAGAGCATTGACTGTTCTTGCAGAGAAGCCAGGTTTAAATCCCAGCACCCACATGGTGGTTAAACAGCTGTCTGTAACTCTAGTCAGTGTGGAGTGAATTCGGGATGTTGTTGGAGGGGGGTGGCTGGCAGTGTGGAGCAGTGTCTATGGCCTTGCCCCAACCACTGCTGAGAAGCTTATCATTTGCTTGTTATAATCAGTAAGATTTTGGAGGCTTGCTTTTGTTTGAAAACCAACCAACCAACCAACCAACCAACCAACCAACCAACCAACCAACCAGAGATCGGGGCTAGAGAGAAGGCTGGGCGGTTAAGAGCATTGACTGTTCTTGCAGAGAAGCCAGGTTTAAATCCCAGCACCCACATGGTGGTTAAACAGCTGTCTGTAACTCTAGTTCCAGGGCTCTGGTGCCCTTTTTTGCCCTTCTTGGGTACTATACGACATGGTGCACTTACACACATGCAGGCACAACACGCATCCATATAAAAATAAATAACAAACCAATAAATTTTTTTAAAAAACAAAAGGAAACAAACAAAAAAGAGTCCAAATAATTTCAAAATATCAGAAGAAATTTTAAATATTAAATGAGAACTTTAAAAATATTTAAATACTGTTTTTTAATTATTTATGTATTTTTGATTCTTTGATAATTTCATATATTTTGATCACATTCAGACCTCCTTCATCATCTCCACCCACACCCTAATATATCTCCGAACTTCATGTCCTCCATACACACAGTGCTTGTGATAACATGCACAAGACCTTTGTAAGCCCAAGCCAGACAAAAACTCAGCATGGACGGGGGAGGTGGTCAAGAAGCCTCAGGCCCAGCTGAGGACTACTGGCAACTGAACAGGTGCTGTGAGAGGGAGAATCAGTTTTCTTTAAGGGTGTGATATCTGATAGGTTGACCAAATATTCTTTTAAATGAACAGTGAAGTGCTGGTTTTAGTTGAACACTACACAAAACTGTGGTTAGACATACTAGCTTTGAGGACAAGATCTGAAGCTTGTTGTTGTAAACGTTCTCGGGCAGCTGCTAGCTCACTCTCCACTTCTTTGTGTTTGCTTAATAAGGCCATTTCTCCTTCCTTGGCATCATCAAGCTGTTTCTGAAGAACCTAAGAAAGATTAAATAGCCATAATCAAAATGCAAGAAAGATACTAAGCTAAATAATTTATTTAAATCACAAGCATCAGCTTTCTCTTATTGGAAAGTTCTGTGAAACTAGGACTACCTAGTTTTAAATCTGTAAGATGATACAACTTGATATTGTCACAGTCGTATGACTCAATTAGGGAAGAATATTCTACCTTTTCTAATGCATTCAAATGTTCCACAGATATTAAAGACACAGCTATGAAGCTTTCTATACAAGTAGAACAAAACTTGTAGAGGCTTTTAGCATTTGTGCTCCCTCTTATTGAATTCTGGTTTAAAAAGCAATTGATTTTTGTTCAGTTTCTAAACAGCAAATAATGAGGGAGACTGTCCTTAATGGAGAGAAGAGGGAAAAATGTAATTAAACCCTAAGCTCAATATTTTAACTCTCCCAAGCCACTTGTGGAAACACTAATAGTTGTTTAAATAATACCCTTTCATAAGTAATCAACAAGGTTTTATGCATATCTTTTAGGGCCCTTGATTTCTGAAATTCTATTTCATTCCTCACAAAGGCAAAGGCAAAGGCAAAAATGGGGGAGGGCTTTAAGAGGTAGGAATGAAAACAAGCTGAGCCTAAGCCAGCCAGGCTGTTCGCCAACTAACAAAATAATACATTTAAAAGAGAAAATTGGGGCCTGGAGAGATGGCTCAGCAGGTAAGTGCTTGCCATGCAGTTATGAGGACAGGAGTTCAGATCCCCAGAACCCAGTAAAAGCCAAGTGGGCATGGCAGCCTCTTGAAATGACAGAGCTAGGGAGGCAGAGGCTGGGAATCCACAGAGCAAATTGGCTAGGCAGACTAACGGAAATGGTAAGCCCTGGTTCAGTGAAAAGATCGCCTCAATACAGAGGAAGAAAGCAATCAAGCAAGATACTTGTCACCAACCTCAGGCCTACACAAAACACTCATGCTACAAAAAAAAGAGAAAACTAGAAGAAAGGGTCAAGTCGGTCAAATGACCGACTCCTCCCTCACCTGTGCATTGTTCTCTGCTGCAGCGAGAGCCATCTGCAGCTTTTGGCATTTGTCAAGAAGACTGCCAGCTTCATCCTGCACCATCTGTAGCTCAGTTTTTAATTTTCCTATGGTTTTCCGTAAAACTGCTTCTTGTCCCTGAAATTCTTTGCGAAGATCAGCTTCCTTCTCCCTGCTAGCCTGCAGGCTTTCAGCTGTGAAAAGTTGTGACCTTTTCAAATTATCAAGCTCACGCTCATAAAATGTCTGAGCTTTATTCAACTTGCCTTCATAGTCCTCAATGAGCCTTTTCTTTTCAAGTCTCAGCTCTTCAAGGGTGCTGTTTAAGGCCTCCACCTCCACCCTATGCAGCTCCTCTGTTTTCTCCTGTCCTTTGTTCACTAAGGCACTGTGGTCCTGCTGCGACTTCAATAGCTCGTGGACTTCTCGTTTGTGAGCTGCTTTCAAATCTTCCAAGGCCGATCGTCTGTCTTCTTCAAACTGTACCTGGAGCTGTCCAAAGCTCTGTAGTCTCTCTTCGAATTTCCTTCTGATCTCTTCCACTTCTCGGGACATAGTTACTATTCGCTGGACGTGCTGGGCTTCTGCACAAAGTTGCATGTCCTCAACTCTGTGCTTATAAGCTTCAAATTCTGTCAATGCTTGCTGCTTCATTTTTATGTGATCTTCCAAAGATGCTTCTAGAACTTGAATCTTTCTCCGAAGGTCTGACTCTTCTGTTACTTTGCTCTTATATTGCAGTATTTTTTCTCTTGTTTCTGCAAGAATTTGTTGGATTTCTTCTTCGTGAGCATCTTTGAGGGCTTGAATTGCAGATTCATGTTCATCATTTTTAGTGTTCAAAGCATATATTACCTGCATAAATTTGAAGAAGGGAGAATTCAGCACACCACATTTTTATATCTCAAAGTTAATCTTTCATTTGGACTTTTTCTATGTATATCATATTGTTTGTGATAAACATTAAATGCTGAAACCTCATGCAATTGTTTTTTTACCCACAGACTGTTTTACTTAGCAAATTTCTATCTTAGCACAGACCTCTAAATTGTGATTTTAAAACACTGAAAATTGGGGCTGGAGAGATGGCTCAGCAGTTAAGAGGACTGACCGTTCTCACAGAGGACCCAGGTTCGATTCCCAGCACCCACATGGTGGCTATGAACCGTCCTTAACTCCAGTTCCAGGGGAATCTGACGCCCTCTTCTGACCTCTGTGGCACTGTACGACATGGGTGCGCTCACATACATGCAGGCAATACACTCATACACATAAAATAAAAATAATAAATATTTTTTAAAAAAAGTTGAAGATTAAATAGTGATTTTAAAACATTCAAAATTACTAAGAGTGGTGCACACACCTATCAATTCCTAGGAGAGATGGCTCAGAGGTTGAGGCACTGACTGCTCTTGCAGAAGACTCAGGTTTGATTCGCAGCACCCACGTGGTGGCTAAAAACCGTCCTTAACTCTAGTTCCAGGGGAATCTGAAGCTCTCTTCTGATCTCCACAGCATTGTACAACATGGGTGCACTTATATACATGCAGGCAATACACTCATACACATAAAATAAAAATAATAAATATTTTTTAAAAAAAGTTGAAGATTAAATAGTGATTTTAAAACATTCAAAATTACTAAGAGTGGTGCACACACCTATCAATTCCTAGGACTCAGGAGGCTAAGGCTGAAGGATGCAAAGTCCAAGATCAGTGAGTTCAAGGCCATCCTGGGTTATACAGAAAGACACACAGTCCCTCCAAAAAAGTATTCAAAAATAGCAATGAATACTACAAATATAAGAGAGGAAGAAAGGAACAGAGGCCACTTGACCAGAGAAAGTTCTTTGTATAACCCGGGCCAGCTAACTGGGGCTGGAAAGGAGATGAGAAGAAAAATCTGCCATCATCCGTGACTTCCAGGCAAGACAGGCTTCACCTATTTACAGGTGTGGAAACTCTAAGTATTAGGTCTTCCCCAAAGTCCCTCTTACATACTAAATGTCACATTTAAATATATAAAAGTTTAAAAAGTTTCCTTTTCTAGTTCCCTTATAGTTTGATCTTGTTAAGGGTTTAGAACTGTTTTCTGTTACTATGAACCAAAGCTGCTGTGTTCTAAACTAAGAAGTGAGTGGAAGTTTCTCTTGTAATTTAAGAAGTCACTTAAGTAATTTAAACCTAACTTGGGCTGGTGCCTCTGCAATTCCACAGAACACTAGTGAGCAGTAGTGGTTCAGTTTGAGGAAGCCACAGATCTATAGGAACCCAAAGGGTAGGTCGCCTCCCATCCCCACCATCCCTGCGTTCTAGAACATCCTATGGGTATCTCAAGTGGACATGGTCCTATGGGACTGAACTCCGTCTTTGAGATCTGATCCATCTCCAGATAGATAGCAAAACCCTGTCAGTAAGAAAAAGAAAAGAAAGGAAAGGAAAGGAAAAAGGAGGGCTGGGGAGATGGCTCAGCCGTTAGGAGCACTGCCTGCTCTTGCAGAGGACCCAGGTTTGATTCCCAGCACCCACATGGTGGCTAACAGCCATCCGTAAGTCCAGTTCCAGGGGATCCAACATCTTCTTCTGACCTCTGTGGGCATTGCATGACATGGGTGCACTTACACACATGCGGCAATATGCTCATACAAATAAATGAATGAATGAATGAATGAATATAAAAAAAGGAAAGGGAAGCCAGAGAAGCCCATTGACAAAGATGTCAAAAGCAAAGCTGGTGTAGACCACAGGCCTCAAGTCTTTCCAGGGCAGCTCTGCTCTGAGCCTCCACTTCATCTTATTAAGGGCCTAATCAAAGAAAATAGAACTAAAAGACACAGACTTCCAAGAGAACCAAGTCACATCTTTAGTACCTTTAGTACACATCAAAGTATTAAATGAAAAGTGATCTTAAAAAGAAAATGATCTTAAAAAGGACCAGCATATGGAGGGATTCCCTACTTGGGGAATGAAACAGGAGAGGGAAGCAATATAT